CGCCGCCTCCCCCCCAGCTGCACCCTCGCGCAGGAGCCGAGGTCGAAGGAGCGGGACGAGAGGTGGGGGAGGGGAAGGAGTCCCCGGCCGCAGCCCAGGAGTTGCTCCGCGCCAGACCCAGGCTGCCCGCGCGAGCGATCATGGGGCTGGAGAAAGAGAAAGCGGACACCAAAATCTTCATGGACGAGGACGGCTTCAATCGGAGCAGCAGCCCCGCGCCGTCGGAGACGGAGAAGAGTCTGGAGAAAGCGCCCGACCGGGACCCGCACGGGCTCAACAGCCACCTGAAGGTGAGGGCGCGCTGATCCCCGCGCAGACGCCGGCGGCTTCGCGGGACCCGCCCCTCACAACTTCTCCGCCCGCCGCTTTGCATGCCGCCATCGAGCCCCCTTGGAGGACGCGGAGCGTTTTCTCTTTATGCCATTTAAGGCGAATTTAGCGCGTGGGTTTGCCCCCTCCCGACTGCAGCCTGAGAGAATTCCTCTGCTCTGTCATTCCGGGTACCTAGTTCCGCTCGCACGCTCGCTTTTTTTTTTTTTGGTGGGAAGGAAAGGAAGGAAAACCAGTTTATTTAGGTTCGTAGGTAATTTCTTAAGTTCTCGATTGTGCCTGTTTTTTGAATCCACAAAACCCTAATTCCTTCCAGGCCAACCAGCCCGGCTCTTTCAGGACAGTAACAAAAGCAGCAGGTTGTTTCTGCTGCCTGTTGCCCGGTGCGCTTCCCCTCCCCTCCCCTCCCCTCCCTTCCCCTTTGAGACCCCACCCTTTGCGTTTCCAGTCAGACGCCTATTTGGGGTGCTCACGCCTGTTTCTCTCTCTTCCAGCTGGGATTTGAGGATGTGATAGCGGAGCCTGCATCCACTCACTCCTTCGATAAAGTCTGGGTCTGCAGCCACGCTCTCTTTGAGATCAGCAAGTATCTGATATATAAGCTCCTGACCCTTGTCCTTGCTGTTCCCTTGGCCCTGGTTGCAGGGATTCTCTTTGCTGTGCTAAGTTGCCTGCACATCTGGTAAGGACTTCAGCTGCAACATTAACATTCTCCCTGTGCAAGTAAAGTGAAAAATCTAACCACTTAGTCTCTTGTGATCCCAAATGTTGCCATTGCAAGTAGTAATTTTAGGGTGATTTATGTGGCAGGTAGCAGACTTGCAGACCAACTCCATTCGCACTTACTGCAGGTAAAATCTACTAAGTTGATACGCTTCATATGTACAAGGAATACCAACGGGATGGAGTTTAGCATCACAGAGTGCGAACTTCCCCTGTGCCCTGCTGGCTGCAGAATGGAAGGCCAAAAGAGAAGACCTAGAAATGTTTGGGGGGGTTCTGCATCTATTTTCTGGCTGGTTGGCTGGTTTTCTTTTCTCTCTAAAACAAATACATCTTTATCTTCCATTGCTTACAATGAGAATATATTTAGACTAGGTCTCATGCCATTCTCTGGCCAGACACATGGAAGAAAGGCAGGATCGCCTAATCCCAACCACATCCTTTGAGGGGATTTTCTGAGGACTGGATTTCCCAACCTCAAAAAATTAAATATATCAACAAATAAATTAAAATCTGCAGAGGCCGAAGCATGGGGCAGGATCCCATACTGAATTTTTCTCCACCAAAGAGGCTAGAGCAATTTTTCTGACCTGGAGGAGATATTCAAATCAGTTCTGTAGAATCTTAGATGTTGCTTAAGGACCATAGACCTGCAGCCCTAATATGCAAAATGCTTTAAAGTAATTATGACATTATTGTAGTTGTGATTTTACTTAGGCCAAGTTCATACATGTCTGTGCCTCCTTTGATTTTGCCATACGATGGTTGATATCTGAATGTGCATGTGTGCTCTGTTAAGAAACATTGCATTTGAGATATCATTGAGGGTGGCATTCATGATGACTATTTGCACATACCTATTCTTTCAAGTATAGTCATTAGGTGAACACACATGTGTGGACCAGACCATGTTCTGTCAAACATAATAGGGCCACTATTCCCCAGAAAGCTTAGTTAAGCCCTGACTCACAAGCACCCTTCATTTACTTACTACTTACCAATATGTGTAGACCACCCCATCCCCTTAAGGAATGTCACTATTATTCCTACATTCAGATATGTTTCTGAGGCAAAGAGATATCTTGCCAGAAGCCATAAGGTAAGTTGATTGTGGCATGAGTTTGTCAACTGTGAGATCCAAACTTCTCAGTGTATGTGTGTGGGAGACACAGAAAAAGTGTGTGCATGTTATTTATTGCACCATGCATGACAATGACAACACTGTCAAAAGGAATTATTGGGATTAGTGCTTTTTTAGTGCATATTGAATCCCTGCATTTTAACAATGACTGTATCCCATTGAACATATATCTCCATATAAGGTAGTACCATGGGACAAATATAGAAAAGTGGTTTCAGTAAACCAGGAAGTGGAAACATTTCATAAATGAGGTTTTTATCATCCAGAAAACACTATCTCTGGGTTTGTTTAGGGCTTTTTGTGCTATGATTTAGCTATAATCCATTCATAGATTGTAGGTTGTCAAGCAAGCTGATCTGCTATGGCTGTTACCTACAAAAATTCTATGATCACTGGAAAAAGGTGATACTTGACAGCATTTTACGAGTTCTTGGCAGATCAGTGGTCCATCCCATTGTTACCAAGTACTTGACTGCTAGTTCTTTGAATTGCATTACCTCTCTTTGTTTTATGGAACCCAAAAACACGTGGAGCTGCCTTATTCTAATCAAAACATTGGTATTGCCCAGCATTCCTCAACCTGGAACCTGCTGAACTTTCCTCTCATGACCTCCACTCAACATGGTTCAAATTCTCATTGACTAGCCAAAAACCTACATGGTACCTTTGAAAGAAATAGATGTTTAAAGAAGGCTTTCAGAAGCAGTTGTTCAGAAAGTGTAAGAAAGGAAAAGATCCAGCATTACCTCTTTCCCCAAACTGACATGCATTGCTGCAGGCTACACACGATCAGCTTCAAAGATTTGGTCAAAGTGATGAATGGACAGCAATATTCAGGGATCCATCTTTTGTGGCTTGTGGTTATTGCAAGAGCAAAAGGATGTTTGCCCCAGTATAGTGATTGCTAATAGGAACAGATAAGCCAGTACTCATTCTACAGGAGTCTGCCAGTAACACTATAAAATATAGGGATAAAGCACAACCACCAGCATCTCTCTCTCACACACACACATACACAGACAAAATATGGCATGGATAGATAGACTGACCAGTCTCAGAAGTGTTGCTGATGCTATGGAAGTCGCTCTGGAGAGGAAAATTCACAAGTGGGACATTACCACCGAGAAGCTCTTTCTCTCTCTCTAGTCATTGTGGATTGTGGGTGCCAAAAATATATCATTTAATGATAATTTCAGTGTCTTCCTTGACTTAATGTTGAAAATACTAAAAAAACTAAAATCAATCTAAAATCTCCCAACTGTTGAACCAGGAGTTGACTCATGGTGTGGTCATGAATATGTCAGTGTTGTTTTCTTGGCAACAAGAATGAAGTGGTTTTCCACTGCCTTCCTCTGGAATGGGATATTTTTCAACATCTCAGTCTAGTCTACTGTTAGGATTTTTCTAGTGGTGTCCCATTCAAGTACTAACAGGTCTGACCCTGCTTAACTTTTTGAAGGTCAGATAGGTGCTGCAGCCTGTCTTACTTTGATGATATAATGTGCTATGATCCTCTTAGTTTTGTTTTTATTTAATTCTGAAATAAGCAGATGGATTCCTACTCTAGAACTGTTTCATTTCCAAACCTGTCCTCTCCCCATCCCCCAAATTTTAAATTCCCTTGCAGGAGAGAGAAAATTGAAAATGAAGCAGCAAGATCCTCTCCCTTCACATGGGTGGTCCCAATCTAGATCCTACTTATTTAGTATAAAAAATAAGAGAATCCACTGCATGTTTCATAATTGAATTCCCTTGGGAAGGCGAAAAGGCTGCATCAATTAAGTCTGCCATCACAACCCCTACTCCTAGAAACAGAGCATTTAAGGTCATTTCACTGTTTTACTCTCCCGATTTTCACTTTAGGACTCCCCTGAAGGGTGATTTCCCGTTCCAGCAATGCTGGCCCAAAAATCTGAAGGTGAAGTCAGATGAATGGACATGTGGGGCCATTGTTCTGCCTTCCTGTGGAATCCCTTTGGTTAAGGAGTGTGCAACTGTTGCTTGTTTTGAGGGCAGGGTAGTGAATTCCTCTCAAACACTCCCAGTGTCCTTTGAGAAAGAGCCAAAGCAATTCCAGTTTGTGAATAGTTAGATTACACTCACAGACATACACACGCACACAAGCTCACACCTTGCCTCATGCAGTTTCATAAGTGAATGCAATTCTAGTGCCATGTTTTGTTTCTTCACCTTCAGAATGGGGACTTCATTATTAATCCACTTTAAGACAATAGGTGTTGGAAGGTTGAATTCCACCCTGTGTAGAGAAGCCCTTTTGAAACCATCATTCAGGAAGCATTGCTGAAGTGCCAACAGAGAGGAGTTGTTACACTGTTAGCCTGCCAAAAATTCACAGAAGAGCTTGACCTCACATTCCTTCTGCACCCAGAACACTCTTTGAGTAGAGAAACAGTTGCATACCCGCGTTGGAGGGCAGAGTGGTTCACCTCATGGACTGAATTAAGACCGTGCACAAAAATAATTTCATCAGGGTTGGAGGGGAATTGAAGAATTTTTTAAGAAATCACAATAATGGGAATACAGTTGTTTGTTTTTTAAAAACTATGGCTGCTATTTTAATTTAACTTGGACCTTTAATTTACCTTGCCCTTTTGCAGGTTTTGTTATACTGGTGGCCATAGTTACATTATCTGTTAGGCATAAAAGAACAATCTGAACCTGTGCCAACACCAACCACCCTTTGAATGAGCTGTTTGCAGGCATGATCTAGAAAAGTTGCCGCTCTGCATTCTTCTGTTGCCTGAATGGATCTTTCTCCTTTCCTTTGGCTGCAGACTTAAATTTAGGAAGAAACATGAAGAAGTGCATTGCATGTCCTGTATGAATATTTACATATTCTTTAAAATAGATCCTTGTGGTATATGCTTGGCTGTAACGATGTGATCTATTGATTCACTATCAATGTCTCCAGTAACACATGCCAAATTCTGCCTGTAATTATAGGGATAAGATGGAGACCTGAACTACTAAAATGTAAACAAGAATTTTACTGCATGTAATTCACCGCAGACTTATTATTTTATTCTTGTTTCTTGTGAGGATTGAAAGAAATGTCCTCGATCTTCCTCACTTGTATGGATTGCTGTTGTAGCCATGGAGAAGGCAACTCAAGTTTGTGATTAGCCACTTGCTTGGTTGGATTCAAAAACCATCAGAGAACTCAGCAGAAGTTGGAATGTTCTGCTTTTAAATGAAAGGCCACAAATAACTAACATTAATATGAAAATAGGGTACCAAAACTACTACAAGAATCTCATGATTATCTGTGGAAGACTCCAGCATTAGCAAATGTTATGTTTGTTTACTCATAGGTACAGTTTAGAACAAGAATGGGCAGGCCCATGCAGGCTCCAGGCCCCAGTTGTGAGTGCAAATTAGAGCTAAAGTTTTGGGGGGGGGGGGGTTTGAATGACAGGAATTAAAAGGGGGAAATGGGAATCTTAAGACTTGCAGAAGTACCCATTGCACCCCTTGAAAAAAATACTTACCTGCAAAACTCAGATTGAACTGTCCCATTTGTTTTCTGAAAAGGATGAAGAAATCATGCTATAGTTCCAGCTTTCCACAGGGTGATACCTGCTGTAGTCAGATTGCCTGCAGAGTTAGGGGCTTTAGTCCAGTACACTTGGAAAACGCTAGATGTGATGTAACTTTCCTAGTCAATCATTATCAATAAATTAGAATATTGCTCATGAAATCAACATGTATGGAAAAAGCATCCATCATATTTTCTTTTTTTAATAGTAATTCTATTAAAAGTTACAATTAAACAGATAAAAACTAATACAAACTAAAAAAAAGAATAAAAAGAAAAAATAGTGCAGAAAAGAAAAAATAGAAAAATAGAACAGAAAAAAATAATATAGTAAAGAAAAATAAAAGAAATATATAAAGAAATGACTTCCCCCTTCATCACAAGTAAAAACAATTTTAGTAACTTATCACCTTCTCTTAAAATACAACAAATGATCTCTTCTTCCCATATCCCATCTGTTATATAAACTTATCACCTTCTCTTAAAATACAACAAATGATCTCTTCTTCCCATATCCCATCTGTTATATATAAACAAATCCTTAAAGCTTCATCATTCATTCCTGATCAGCAAAAGTCCATTAAGGGTTACCAGAGATAACAATATATCTATTTTAACTTTGATCAATTAAGCCAACATTGTATTCCTTCTTTTTACTTTTAACAATCTTGATCTTTAGTCCCTTCAAATAATGTCCTAGAAACTGATTTCTTTTCTTTTTTTTTCTTTGTCCCTTCTCACAAAATTCTTCAAAGCTGTAACAAATCTCTTTTGTAAATCCAATATAGGAAAATTACCCAGGTCACTCTCTTGGTTTGTTATTTGTATATCCCTTTTAATTATTAAGACATCAGCCAATTTATTTTGTATGTCCAGTGTAGCATCTTTTTCCATATCATTCTTGTAGCCTGTCATTTTTAAATCCACTTTCAGATCAGTCTCAATCTTGTCAATTAAAACG